CACTTCGGAGTCGATGCATGCCGAACCGACAATCGTGATCGTTGCCTGCAACGGAGCGCAGACCACAACCATTACCATAGCAGCACTGTTCCCAACACAAACGTTCATACCCAGTCAAATTACCCCTAAACAGTTCATCATTGACCTGGACCCAACTTGAACATATTGCCATCAGCTACGGATGGCGCACACTAGTCAAAGATTGTCGGTCAATTAGAGCGCATGCATGGATTCCGACCATGCTCTAGTACACGCAAGCCTAATGCTTACTTTTCCCGCTGCAAAGAAGCAACTGTCTTCTAGCCTTCTACCTGTAACTTAAACTGGCAGTCTACCGTTCAACAATATCAGAACGAACTGGCCCAAACATTGTCATGGATGAATGAGGTTGGAGAGGCGAACGCTGACTGGAATTGTCTCAAATGTTCCATTAAGAATACCTTTGACATCTGCTGTGCACCCAACTTGAGACGTCATAACTATGAATAGATCACTGAGATATCGATCCGTCTGATCGAAGCATGGACACAGGCATTGAGTTTCAGCGTGTCCGTGACTATCTGAAACGACGTCTGACAAGGGGTTTACGAATGTACTGGGAACCTTGGTGAAGGTCAAGGACCCGTGAGGTGGAGAAAGCCAGTGCTATTGGGGACAGCCGAGTACTGTTCCAGCTCATGCAGAAAACGGGTCCGCGAAAGCCTTTCGTTAGCGAGACAATATCCTTCAGTTTGGCGACTGTTAACTGTCTGGTACATCTTCAAATCGGATCAGCACACTTTGTACGGAAACCATCGAGGCTTTAACCTTGTTCCCACTGCCTCCAAATTTCTCATGGTTATCATTCTCCAACGAAGCACTGGTCCTCTGAACATGGAATCACTGAAAGCCTGACTGGCTTCCGCCCTGGTCGTGGTTGTGTTGTCCAAATGTTTACACTCCGCTGTTTCAGAACAGAAGCACACATATAGAAGAGCAACTGGTGGTTTTATTTAAGTTGAAAGCCGGCTTCGTTGCTGTTGACCGCGCCAATTTGTGGCACTGCCTGTCCGTGATGTACGTGCTGCATCAATTCCTTTCCATTATGCAATCTCTCTACCGAGGCTCCAGAGACCGTGTAAGGCTGTACGGGAAACTGTCTCCTGAGTTACCCAGGACAAGTGGGTTTAACCAGAAATGCTCTATACTTCCTTTCTTCTTCTTCAAATTTGCAACCGAAATGATCATTAGTGACTCGTTTACACCAGTTTCTACCGGAGTGAATGTTTTGCCGTGTGACTGATTGACAAACCTGAAGTATGCGGATGGCATAGCTCTTCTTGCATACGACGCAGTGGCCATGCAAACACTTCTGGATAGACGGACGCTTGTGCTTTAAGCCTTCAAAGTGTAAATACTGTTGCAAGACTGCACCTACACACCTCCGATTCTACCTATCACCGAGAAGCCACTGGAAGTGGTGGATCGTTTTACTTACCCTGGTAGCTCTGCCACCTCAGGCGGTCACATCATTTAGGCAATTACTTCGAGTACCAGCAAGGCCCTTGTGACTTTCCAGAGACTCAACCATCTATGGAGACCGCAAGATAGCCTGCCAGTGAAAGATAAGGAGTATAACGATGTGGTATGGCCGCTGTTACTGCGTGGATCAGTGCCCTTGTCAGTTCGCAGCAAAGACATCAAATGCTCAAATGGCTCTGTTTAACCACAAGTGCTTGGGGAGTATTGCCCACCTCTGGGGGAACACCGGGTGAGCACTGCTGAGGTCTTCCAGTTGGTCTTTGGCAAGAAGCCTTCAGGCTGCTTTCTCGAGTTTGTACTAAAACTTAAGCGCTTACGTCGGGTAGGCCATGTCCTCCATAGGCCTGTTGACTGGTTTCCTCCGCGTGCATTATAGGCCGTGGCCACACCAAGTTGGGTGAAACCGCGAGGTGGCCAGTCCATGACGTGACACAGTGGGATGAGGAAATTGATTGAGAGACTTGATCAAGCTGGTGCGTGGCGTCTTCGTAGATGGGTGTTTCGGACGGTGTACACCAACGGTTGGACACCGTGCCAGACATGCCTTTGTCACTCACTCAGTGGGGTTCCCGCATCCAGTTCTCTGCATCAGGTTATTAATTTTCGCTCTATTCTGATTAGTTTAAGGCACACTCTATTATTTCTATTTGCTTTCCATCTATTTGCCTTTAACCCCATATCTTGCGGTTGTTATTTATCGTCATTCTTGCGATGTGACCCTTGACAACTGGATCAACTGCACTTCGGTGTTCGGATCACAGTTGTCCAACTGAAATGATCTGAACTGATTCACTGTACTACACTTGTCCGTGAGCGTAAATAGGTACACTAACCGAGCCCAGCGCAAAACGTATTGTCTTAATAACAAAATTACATCCGGACACGTGGACAGCCCTCGGAAAGTTAGGCGAGGTGTTCCCCTACTCATAGCAGCAAACATATGCTACCAAACTACCGAGGATGCGTCTAACGCGCTACTACTACGATATGCTCCAATATTCCGACGCGTCACCAGTACGTCACATACCAGTTACATTCCCTGAGAAGTCACTATTAGTACAGCAACGGTTTTGCGGAAGCTACTATCCTTGTGCCCCCATAGTTCCTCCGGAGTTGACAACGTTAACCTGAACTCACTGTAGTTGTCAGCTGCTAGGATAGCCTCGCCACTATCCAGATTCCTTTGGAGATGCATAGAACAACGGCAATTATTCAACATGTGAAATCAAGGAATCAACACTCCGATTTTATCGATGTCGGCCCTTCGGACGCGGCTAACTATCGCCCAGTGCTTTTCCTCCCAGTTATCTCACAAGTGATGAAGTTGATAATTACAGAGGCACTAATGTGGTATCGAGTAATATTTAACATCCGAGCACCGGAGCGACATATTTTTCGTTAAGATGCATCATGTACTACCAGGCTACTGATTGCGCGTGGCAGTTGGACCCAAACAGCTGATAGTGGGACCAGAACCGATCTCACCATTCGCCATTTTAGATCCCCAAATCCTTCTATAAAACCTGTAAACATACGGATTTGGAAATCTTGTCTTTGAATAGATCGGGAAATTTCTTTCTTTAGTAGCAGCTTCGGGACTCATTATCCTAATGGATTGAAATGGAATGCGTTGCTGTACGAAGATCTTCATTAACCACCTCGCGCATGTAGTTGGGTCGGATTTCTTACTTATACCGATGACGTCAAGTTATGGCGGCTGATCAATAATTCAGGGGATCACCACCTGCTACAACGATATATACTGAAGACCGCCTCACATTTGCTCCACCTTGAGGTAATGATTAGAGACGACCTAAGCTGATGGGAGCAGTCATTGAAGGTGTTCAAAACCACGAACCAACTTGCTTGCCTCTTACGTTGTGCCTTCGGGCATTTGGACCCTTTCATATTTTCTCAACTGCTCAATGCATATATGAGGCTCCATGTAGAGTACACGATTCTTGTCTTGTAACCCTGGCTAAAACGCATCTAGTTACACTGGATATCACGCGGCAAACTGTAAACAAAGTGTAAAAGGGTTGTTCCACGAGCCATACAAACTACGAGTGAAAACCATCGCAGTATACAGGGAAAGTTATCGCCGTCTACACCTTGACCTTAGCCTGACGTGCCAAATCTAAAAATACCCCAGTCACATTTTCCACCATTTCTTGGAAGCTTACCGAGACCCAAATCGAGGGATCACCAGCTTTAACTGGCTACCAAATGTAGCCAGTTGAAATGCAGCCGAAATTTATCTTTACAAATTACCATGGAACGCTGCTTCGACTTGTGTTATCTCTGTACACACGTATTCCATTAACAAATGACAACTTGAAGTATTAAACCAATTGAAATAATTGAAATAAATTCATCGGCTGACACAAAACGCAAGTAAGCACTGAGCAACACCAAAGTAAGCACTGTCCTCATCGGCTCCCCAAAAACGCTGGGTAGACGGCTTTTAATGCTTATTAACGCGGATCAAGTGGCGATTGTGGCCAAACCTTCTCCCCATAACTGTGTCGGTAATGGGACGCATTGCCGATAACAACCGTGGCTAGTACAACGAGAAACAACCAGATGTGTCTTCGCTTAGCAACTTTGTCAGAAGTTTAGAAGACTCCGACTGTACCCCATTCCCTAGCACCAAGTGACATGATGAGTAGTATGAGATGGTAGTACATTCACAGAGGAGTATGTAGGTTGAAAATAACAACGTTATCTGAACACACAGTTTCCATTGTTTAATGAAATCAGGTGGCCAGCATATGCACCGAGAACAAGTGAGTTAACTCACAATTGAGCGAGATCATTAATGCCATACGTAGCATCCAAAAGCATCCACAGTTCAGTAAAGTACGTCAGCCAAGTAGCTTGCCCACCCACCGATTGCTAGTCTACGATTTGACCATTTCTACTTCAGGTACACCGTTTTTCTTCTACTTGGACGCTATGAAATTGACAAGGTTGTCGAGTGACCCGACCTTACCTCGGTTGGTAATTGATCCGACGATGGAAACTTCACCAGCTTCAATATTCAGTCGTTGATTCCCGCTCCTCGACATCCGAAAGGAAATGGTACATAGAACTTTGGTAATACAGGGTTGCAACTGGAAAGATAGCACAATTGGTTTCACGCCTCCCCCCCCAGAAGTACCTAAACGTCATTGTTGCAAAGGAATACCTGGGACCTGTGTGTCGGATTTAATGAAGATACTCAGCATCTAGGGCGTATTTTTGAGTAATTATGGTCTATTTATCAACATTGAGTCTGCATCATTCCACAAGCTACTCAACAGAGTGAAGCCGCGGGGTCTGTAGTAATTAAAGATGTGAAAATAGTGACATGGTGGAGCCAAAACAAAGACATATGCAAACGCTAAGCAGAATTGTTACTCATTTGTGGAGTGGCGTAAATACTATACAGTTATTTTTGTATAATCTTGATGGCTGTCATCACGTCCCCCTTTTTTCAGACGCACGTAATGGAGCATCCAAGGTCAGAGAAGAAGAAAACGGACCCGGTTGCAGTATTCGCTGAATGATGTGTAATTTTCTCCTTCACTTTCCCATACTGCACGCCTTACCGTATTGCGCCTAACTCTCGTGTTTAGAATTGGTCATCAAAACGAACATACTCGCTCAGCTAACTTTGTTGCTTGCTATGAGACTATCATTAATGCCAGTTCTCTCACCATTCAATACGAGATACTAACTCTTTCTTTCGTATTATTGCAAGTTACGATACGCACCTTTTAGTATAACTATAAGAAACAAACAAATGAAAAGCTATTAGAATGGAAGCAATTATGCAGAAAATTTCATTGTTTAATGGTAGGTCACTCATGAGAAGAAAGCTTTAGAAAATTGCAGGTGTTCGCTTTAGTTAGCACCCACTTCCACTTTCATTCGTGCTACGTGTTCATAACTAGACGCCTTTCTACTGAAGGATCTCTTGCTCCTTAATATATCCGTAGGGCTTATTTGTGGTTGTCGGCTTTTACTAGCTGATGTTATTTCTTCGTGGTTCACGTCGATGAAAAGTATGCAAAGCGAAATTTCACAACCAATTATCTGTGTAAAGTGGAAATATAAATCGAGTTGCTTAGAGGGCTAACACTCCAAATTACTGGCTAAAACTTGTACTTTCTTGGTTGCTCCGTACTCTGAATGTGACAACATTTATGATCAGTGTAAAGCTTCTATCATTGGTAAACATGTGCGTCATCTACATCTTTGATCTTGGTAGAAGGGATACACATTGCCTAATAGTTTCGGCCCTCGAATAATGCACTCCCTCAGAACGATGGCGGCAATCTTGAATTCGACAACTGTTACTAACCCGGAGCAATCACCGTGTGCCAGCTCCGAGTACATCACAATTACATTCTCCTGAAAAAACCATGTTCTAATAAGAATAAAAGTTGCCCAGGCTTGACAGGTTCGTGGAATGGCTTGTGTGAATTGCAAGCTTGTAAAAAATAGCTGTCACTAGTTAAACGCACATATGTGATCTCACCATAATATCCACGTTAACACATATGTATATCCGCCCACCCTGATTTCGTGAGGGTTGGTGAGCGCCATGTTTGCGTCTTCTCGTCCCTCAATGAGCGGAATTCAAATCAAGTGGCGCATGTGGTGAAAAACAACACTGAGTCGTTATTTCTTGGGTACCTTGAACGCAGAAATGGAAAAAGTCGGAGGACCATTCCATGGCAAGATCAGTTTTCGAGAATTTCACTTCTTTTATGTTCGCCATTTCGGCCAAATATGCGACTCGGGTAGCCCCAGTAACCTTTTTATGTCCCGCATGAATCCACGAGGTGTGCTCAATTGACAGATTATATGTATTTGGTTTTGCTTGTGCTATACAGTAAGTAAGCAAGTTTTAGTGCTCGTTACATCGTGGGAATATGTTGGAGCAGTCGTTAAAATCTTGATCTGCCTTAGGCAAAACCCTATCTGCATAAACCACGAGCCAATTAGGCCGCATTACTTATGTGTACGCGTGGTCAATTATCAGCATAGTTGGTTGCTAGAAGACATACAAAAGATGAAGAGGCAGTCGAGTGCAGTCCATTCCTAGCTTATGACTACTGACATGGAAGTAGATTAGCCGGAACGTGGCATTTAGTACCACAAAGTTAATTCAATACAGCGACGTGTCCTCTCCCGCCTAGTGTTACATAAAAATGCATCATCTACCGGCCGAAGTGCTAGTCCAGCTAAGTAAATACGTATGTGATATTATGAACATATCATCTTCCATAGTCCCCTGAGGAGTCGCTGACAACCTAACTCAGCATTTCACAGAATTCTGCACATTATGCATTCGACAGTAGACGAGCCTTTCATGTTGGTTGACAAGTTCTGGAGACAGATCATCGTAGCCACTATCACAGATAGGCCATGCGCCATGTGCAATACAAACGCGGCAATGTGATCTACGGATCTAGCCGAGGACGGCGATCTGGCTGAGACATGTCAATCAACTGTTATAGAGGCAGGGACTGTCAGAAAATCGCAAAAGCAAGTACCATCAGTGAAGTTATCTCTAGACATACTGGTCTGCGTGCGTGAACTGGAAACTCCCCAACACACCCCAGAGCATCAACCTCCACATTCGCCCCCGAACCTGACAGTCCGAAGGCCGAAGAGGTGGCGCAAGTTCATGTCACCCAGGAAGGTCAACCCAAAACTGAAATCTGACAATACAACTCAAACGAAATAAAATGTTTAGGCGAACAGCCGAGGCGTCAATCACTTATACAGGGTCAAAGTGTGGCCAGTGAGCCGCACTCTCTCTCATGTATTGGATAAACATATAGCCAGCTGGGTGGACCGACCAATTAACACAGAAACGCTGTTCCTTAATTGGTCACAGGCTGACGTTTATAGAAGTTTCCACTAGATTTTTGGGATATTTATCTGTATATAATCTTTTTACTATGATTCATTGTTTAAGTTCTTCACCATTCACCACGAAATCCCGCCATTTTTCCGGACCTACCTTTCTGCATTCTCTAAGATTTTTCCGGATTTTAGGTCCAAGTGTGTTTCGGAGGAGGCGATGACACCAAAACTTTGCTGCCGTTATGAACATAGGTGTTGACTTCCCTACTTTAGCCAAGATAGAAGTTTATCTAGAGGGTTTAGTGATTTGAAGTAAACCTAAGAGTTTGACGCTGATCGTACTAAAATGCTTGAAGTAGGTCGTAGACGGATAGTGCTTGTAGACCGCTCTCAGTCTCACATCAATGGTGAGGGCTTGCGCTTGCTATATTTATCGGCCTGATAATCACATTGAGTCAAGATTTGCCATGATCGCAGCACGTGAACAAAATAGTCAAAACATCAAGTCGCAGCCGTTGCACATTATCTGTCTGACATTGCATTCACTATTTGCTTAGTTCCGCGGTATAGTACTACACTTGTTTTGCTTATTCAGAAACACTTTGCTGTTGTGCTATCTCCGGGTCTACTGAGTATGTTTTGTGCTACCTGTGAAAATAAAGAAATGTGCATTTCAGTGAAGCAGCTTCCCTACGCTGAGCTTGCTTTTATTGCGCTGTCTGCTCATATCGATCCATCAAAAATGTGTCGGAAATACCCACCTTATAATCCTAATACCTGTTAACACTGTGGAGTCAGAAGACAGATCGATTCCGTCGATTGACGCAAGGTCTCGGCAACAGAGAGCTGAGGGTGTTGGGAAGAATTAAGTAGACGGTTACATCACGGTTTTAGGATGGCAATTTGAACAACGCAATACAAGCGAGATACCACGTAACCATGAGACAGTAGTAAATCCCCGTATTGTTCAGATGGCAGTCACTACGAATACGTGAATATAGCACCGTGAAACCGAGCGTGCGTAAGTTTGCAACTTTACAATACTAAACAAAAAGGTTACTACTGGAAAATAACAAAAGGCTAGATATGTATTTATATGGTCAGAATCAACTGGTAGAACGAGGGTGACCAAACATGGGCTGTTTGCCATCAGAAATATCAGGAACACGCGCCAACTTGCGTTCAAAGTGATATTAACCGGCATCCATTCTTCACAGAATTTCCGTGTAAGTGCAGGCCGCCAGCTTTCTCAATGTGTAGACACTTACTGATCATGCGTCACCCCATAGGGTCTGGACCAGCGTTCACAATTGTGTTACGTCGCCCTAATTCCGAATTCTTTCGTTTCGCCGAGGTGTCGTGATGAGTAGGATGAAGATGGCTCTGGGTGTTTTAAACAATTATTTGTCAGTTTAAAGCTGCCATTGACATAGGAGTGGGACTTCTGTCACTTATTTCGCACCCCATGATTATTTGATCACGCCTATATTTAAGTATATATAATTGCATGCCGGTTGTTGCTAATGTTACTGAGGAGACAACACAAAAGACATTCATCTACCTGCTTCCATCTTCTTACAGCGCTTTTCAGAAATAGAGAAATAAACGATCTACTTGTTAAATGTTAGTAGGAGAATTGACAACACCCACGTACTTCATCGATCAAGCCATCGAAACCAATAAAACTGTGCGCGGGCCATCGGTAAGCCGGGCATCGCCTAGCTGCCACATATTTTTCCCTACTCAAAGTTCACCGATCAAGATTCACTGGTCTTTTTTTCTATGTGTTTTCCAACTACCATCCTCCTGTATCAGTTAGGCTCTGTGACCTAATTACCTGAGATTAATTGTCGAAACGCTTAAATCTGCCATCGTATTTTCAATGAAACATCGTGCTTGATTTCAGAAAAATTGGAATATAAAACGGTTTTTGTAGGATTTACTATAGCAACGTTACACTTTTGACGAATCGGTACAGAATTGGCTTAGGGTTTTAGGGAAAATTAAGGTGATGATTGTAAGAAATAACATGAACTATTGGATAATAGTGTCCCGGGTCAATAGGTCAAGTGGCCATTCTAGTGAAGCAACAAGCAATGAGCGTTTCTCATTGATCTACCTTCACACGTGGGGCATCCCTTTCCTGCAGCTGTTGAATCACATTCCTACCTTAATTCGTCCAAAGACACCTTTCTGATTGACCGGTCGACACGCGTTCCATAACCACCCCGCCCGTTCTGTTTACACAGTTATTATTCTTAGTAATCTCGATCGCCTCAAAAATCAACCTTTGGCTTGTTGCCTGTCATCCTCTCTTAATCCTCTTGATGTTGCCCAAGACAATCTCGTGTCCTGCGTTTCCGCGTGTACCGCCACCGCTGAATCTTTTAGTGGGGCCGTTTATGCAGGCTCATTTCTCGGTGGATGCAAAACGTGCCTCTCGTGTTCCGCTATCTTCCTGCGTAGCTCTCTCGCCGTTTGACATATATACACGAGTTCACAGGCTTTGCAACTGATTCTATAAACGAACTTGCTCATCCTATCTCTTGGAAGCGGATCCTTCGAACGCACAAGTGCTGAATAGAGCGTTTTACCCTTTTGAAAGACTACTCTTATTTTCTCCCCGTTTA